TCTTCTTATCTTCTTCAGGAGGGGGTGAAAGCTGTTGAATGCATAGAACAAGAATTAGTGATGTGATACACACCTACAGTGAGTATAAAGTTTATTCCTTCAATGAGTTCTTCCAGAAATTAGTCCCGATCCAGACCCCAAGAGAGGGTTCCTGCATCTCGTACAAGAAAGAATTTGAGGCAAGTTCATAAAGTGAAAGCACGTTTATTAATAAAGTAAAGGAATAAAGGATGGCGACTCCATAGGCAGAGCACCCCTGAGAGCTAATGGCACCCATTTTTCTGGTTATTTCTTGATTATATGCTAAACAAGGGGTGGATTATTCATGCCTATTTATTTATTATTTTTTAGACAGAGTCTCATTCTGTCACCCAGGCCAGCTAATTTTCATATTTGTAGTAGAGATGAGATATCACCATGTTGGCAAGGCTGGTCTCGAACACATGGCCTCATGTGATCCTCCTGCCTTGGCCTCCCAAAGAGCTGGGATTAGGCATGAGCCACTGCGTTGGGCAATGCCACCCCTTTTTAGACCATATAGGGTAATTTCCTGATGTTGTCATGGCATTTGTAAACTGTCATGGTGCTGGTGGGAGGGTAGCAGTGCGGATGACCAGAGGTCACTCTCGTCGCCATCTTGGTTTTGGTGGGTTTTGGCCAGCTTCTTTACTACAGCCTGTTTTATCAGCAAGGTCTTTATGACCTGTATCTTGTGCCAACCTCCTATCTCATTCTGTGACTTAGAATGCCTAACTGTCTGGGAATGAAGCCCAGTATGTCTCAGCCTTATTTTACCCAGCCCCTATTCAAGATGGAATTGCTCTAGTTTAAACACCTCAAACGCCTCTGATAGAGTGGCTGGAGTTTCAATTTACTATCTCCTCTAAGGGAGAAGAAACAGAAGAGGAAGGACCCAAGATAGATAAGAGAATTGCCCAAAGACAGGGAAAGCCCTTTTTTGGACAGGGAGGAGATAAAGGAGAATGTCAGGAGCCCATCTACACTGTAAGGCAAACCAGCCTGCCAGCCAAAACCTAAATTTAGTCAAGTTCGTTGTTTTCATAGCTTTGTTTTTGCTTTCCCTTAGGGTTTTTGTTTTTGACAAAATTTTGCTCGTCACCCCAACTGGAGTGCAACAATGGCACGATATCAGCTCACTGCAACCTCTGCCTCCTGGGTTCAAGCAAATCTGCTGCCTCAGCCTTCCAAGTAGCTGGGACTACAGGCCTGTGCCATCATGCCCAGCTAATTTCTGTATTCTTACTAGAGATGGGATTTCACTGTGTTGGCCGGGCTGGTCTTGAACTCCTGACCCCGGGTGATCTGTCCGCCTTGGCCTCCCAAAGTTCTGGGAATATAGGCATGATCCACCTCATCCAGCCAAGCTGAGACCCTTAGTTTTAAAGTAAATGTTCTTATGGATTTCTCTAAGCATGTGTGGCTGAAATGAGAGGGAATAGGAGGTCCAAGATGAGAAGGGGTTTTGGGAGTTAGCATACCAGCCCCAGAGTCTGAGGTGGTTAAAGCTGGGCTAGAGGATTTTAACGTTGAGGGTGGAAGGCTGACCTTGGCAGTACATTGAGAGTGCTTCATCATAGATAGGGGCACCACAAGATAACTTGGAGAACCTGATTCAGCATCTAATTTTGTAATCTGTTCACTGTGACCCCTAGCAGTGAGGTATTAATAATTGTTCAGCTTATGTTCTTGTCTGTAAAAAGTGGAAAATAATGTTTGTCCTACCTATTTCATAGGGACACTGTGATAATCAAATGAGATTTTATATGTGAAAGCATCTTCCATTATCACTTTACCAGAAAGACACATTGAAGACCATGCCACCTGAACTAAACTATAAAGCAAGGGTATGGACAAATGCTAATCATCAAGAATTCCGTCTCGCGTGGTGGCTCACCCCTGTAACCCCAGTACTTTGGAAGGCAGAGGCAGGCAGATCACTTGAGGCCAGGAGTTCAAGACCAGCCTGGCTAATGTGGTGAAACCCCAACATGGTAAAACTCCATCTCTACTAAAAAAAATTAGCCAGGCCTGGTAGCGCACACTTGTAATTCTAGCTACTTGGAAGGCTGAAGCATGAGAATCACTTGAACCTGGAAGGTGGAGGTTGTAGTGAGCTGAGATTGCGCCACTGTACTCCAGCCTGGGCAATTGAACAAGACTCTGTCTCAAAAAGAAAGAAAGAAAGAGAGAAAGAGAAAGAGAGAGAGAGTGAGAGAGAGAAAGGAAAAAAGAAAGGAAAGGAAGAAAAGAATTCTCCACTTATGTTTGTTTTTTCTTAGTATTTCTAAACCCAGTTCTTGGTTTATTAATGACACATTCTGACTTATTTAGGACTTATTTAGAACTCCACCACACATTGTTACTTCATTCCTATCCTAAGCTCTTTTTGCATCCATAGCACCTGACCTCATACTTGCAGCAGAAATCCTGGAAATACTCATGGACTAATATATGCAAATATTTTAATCATAGAGAGTTTATCCATAAACTTAAATTCTCCTGTAACATAAACACTTCTGTTTCTTTAAGCTGGAGTATAAGGCCATTTCTAAGGATTTTTTTTTCTTTTGTTTTCATGTTTATATTCTAATCTAAGGAATTTTTAAACTGATTATATTAATGCGTCTTATAAGATCAGTGATTATTAATACACTCATAGTTCATATTTATACTATATCTATTTCAAAAAACCTTATTTACGACTTAAGGCAGGACAAAGAAGCAACTGCAGACAAAGTGACTCTTTTGTGGCCTCTAATAACTTGTTGCTTTAAACAAGGAAGGCCATTGTATAAACTCCTTTGAGGGGTTATTGTGAGCATTAATTCGATTAAAATCTGCAAAGTGCTTTGAACTTTTCCTAGAATTCCCTTATAAATAGGGATGACATTTTTTTTTTAGGTGTCTTTATGTTGGTCCTCTCATAATTAAATGTAACAAATTCACCTGCTCTTGAACTGCCTGTGTTCCCTGAAGCAAAGACTCAAGATTAATTCAAATTTTACCCTTAGTTATTTTAAGCTGACTACAAGAGCACACACAGTGGAGCAGAATTTGCTGCCCTTATCACAAAGAGCTTGGTGTATGATGTGCATGACGCAATGTCCCGTAATCTCTATGCCACATGGCAATTAGATATAAATTATTGTTGTTATTACAGCTATTTTATAATGACCAATGAAGTTTTACCCTTGTCTTTGTTATTTATATTTGAATAATTTACATTCTGTTCACTTACAATAGGATTTAAGGCAGCCTTCCTTTTACTAGTTCTTCCTTATCCCTAAATGTTGAAAAACTTTCCTGATTCCAGGAACTGTTTAATCTTCATTGTATGAACAGAAGGACATGCAGACATTAAAGACTGGAGTCTTAGATCCAACTCTCTTAACAACTGTGGCTCCTTGGGAACCCCTTCTCCTCAGTCTCCTGATCTTCTCTGATCCCAATCTTGTCCTCAATGACCCCCTCTGCCTATGCTGTCCTCTCCCCTTCCCAAAAAGAAGCAGCTCTGAATATTCTTAGTGCTGGGCTTGGGGCAGCAGAAACTATGGAGCAGACCCAGGTGAGCCCTGGGGAACAACAGGATAAGAGAGAGGCCTATTGTAAATGAGGAACCTGTCTGGCAGGTGACCAACCTGGTTTTCTTGGGACTGAGTGGGGGTTCCCAGGACATGGGACTTGCAGTTTTCTGGAATGAATTTACCTGGCATTAGACTAGGTTCTGGGACCTCGATATTGGCTGAGTCTTTTCTGGGTGGGGAAAGACACCTTGTTCTTTCTGCCCTGCAGCACACTGCTCTGGGTGTGTCTTCTCAGGGATCTCTGGATGTGACTCTTGTTACATGAAAATGGAAGAGGCCAGAGTTGTCCAAGAGGGAAGCCAGCTACATCCAGGCAGGGCCCCCGTGGCACCAGAACCCTGCTAGAACCATCAAGGTCCCAGGTCAGTTCTGTAACTTTGCAGGTATGGAAATGGTACCTGTGGGTCAGGCTGGGGAAATTAATGCATGCTAAACAATGCCCCAAAGAGACTGAGCAGATTACTGTTGTGGTTATCTTTATAATCCTGGGGATACACCTTTGCCATTTCCCTGGATGACCCCCTTCACAGGACCAGTGATATGAGAAGCCAAGTTACCTTAGAGCTAGAATAAAGATTTTAAAAGGAGAAAAAGTTTGGTTGGTTGGTAGGAGGCAGGGTCTTGCTCTGCTGCCCAGGCTGGAGTGCAGTGGTGTGATTTAGGGTCACTTGCCACCTCTGCCATTTCCAATGTGTAATTTTTTTTTTTTTTGAGATGACATCTTGCCCTGTCACCAGGCTGGAATGCAGTGGCACAATCTTGGCTCACTGCAACCTCCACCTCCTTGGTTCAAGTGATTCTCCTGCCTCAGGCTCCCAAGTAGCTGGGATTTACAGGTGCCTGCCACCATCCCCAGCTAAATTTTGTATTTTTAGTAGAGTCGGGGTTTCACCATGGTGGCCAGGATGGTCTTGATCTCTTGACCTGTGATCCACCTGCTTCGGCCTCCCAAAGTGCTGGGATTACAGGTGTGAGCCACGATTCCTGGCCTCCTATGTGTAATTTTTAAGTGAAAGTACAAAATCCTAGTCTAGCCTTCCTGGAAATTTTTCCCCAGGCCCACCTCAGGGGAGATCCGAAGATAACCAGTCTCCTCTACTGTGCACTGATGGTTATAATCTAGGGGAGGAAATTCACATACTACTACTCTAGCTGCCTTTAATCCTCCCAGTTGTGTTTAGTCCTGAGTTGTGACCTCAAAGCTGATAGGCCTGTCTTCCTTTTGTAAACAGTTTGGGTATTTTTATCTTAAAGTGCATTATTTTGCACTTGCTCCCATGAGAGCTCATTTGTCAATTGTCAGATCACATGGTCAGATTTAGAGGCTCTTCTGATGATCTATCTCAGGGACTGGCAAACTTTTTCTGTAAAAGCCTGGATAATAAATACTTTTACCTCCACCACTATTGGTCTGCAGCTCTTCTTGTGGTAGCAGTTGTTGCATTTCTTTGTGGGAAAGAAAAGATATTAAACACCTCTTTCTTAGCAAAACAGAGAGTAGGCATATGTGTGACACACACAAGATATATTCTATAGTTTTGTTTGGCAGGAGATGATCCATTTCAAAACAAATTAAGAAGACTTGGAAAAAATGTAATTCAGTATTTGAATAATGCTGTTTCTTGTTCTTTTTAAAAAATAATTTTAGCTTTGCAGCAATCTTCAGGTGTCAGTCTGTCACTCTGCCCTTGTAGCAGCAGCCAAAGAGAGAGTAAACAAATGAGCATGGCTATGTTCCAATAAAACTATTTATAGAAACTGGGATGTGACTTTCATATTATTTTAATGTGTCACAAAATATTAGTTTTCTTTCCATTTTTTTCAACCACTTAAAAGTGTAAAAACCATTCTTAGTTTGCAGACTGTACAAAAACAGGCACTGGTGGGATTTGGCCCAGCACTTGCTGACCCCTGAGAGACCTATCTGTGTAGAAGTGTTGTTAGACGTTTTACCACATAGGCTCTCTTCCAGATCATTTACATGTGTTAGTATGTCTTTTCCTAGCACAGATGCCTGAGACTTAGGCTTTTGTTTTCATCAATCCTCATTTCCCAATGTACTGTTTTTTAAATTTATTTTATTTTATTTTGAGACAGACTCTCACCCTATTGCTCAGGCTAGAAGGCAGTGGCGGGATATTGGCTCACTGCAACTCTACTTCTGGGTTCTAGCAATTCTTCTGCCTCAGCCTCTGAAGTAGCTGGGACTACAGGTGTGTACCACCACGCTCAGCTAATTTTTGTATTTTTAGTAGAGATGGGATTTCACCACAAAATCCTGACCTCAAGTGATCCACTCACCTCAGCCTCCCAAAAGTGCTGGGATTATAGGCATGAGTCACTGCACCCAGTCCTCAAATATACTGTGAAGGCCGAGGTATTTATACCACCCAAATACCTTCATTTGGGTGGGTATTGCTGGGGCCCTGGAACCTGCCAGAGTGCTTGCTTGTGGCTGTCCAAGTTTCATAGTGGCCCCTGTGAAAACACACTAGACCAAAAAATAAATAAATAAATAAATAAATAAATAAAAAGAAAATACACTAGTCCTTTCAAAATGGAAGTCTGATTGTGTCTCCAACCTCTTCCATGCCTCCACCCTCAGCTCAAGGAACTTGCCTCTTTCCTCTGAGCTGTAGCTGCTCTAAGCTTGTGTTGTCTGGGGTTCTGACCACAGGCCTTTTCATGTGCAGTTCACTCAACTTGGAATACAGCTAGTGCTCGACTTATGACCACGATTGGTTCCGACAGACCGGTCGCAACACGATTTGGTCTTAAGTTGAGTAGGCTATATGCACGCGGAGATGGTAGTGCTGCCGGAAGCTGGTCCACACTGTCGTACGCCCGGCTGGGCAATGTTTGCGCTGCCAGACGTGGAGCAGTCGTAGCTAAGCGATTGTGGTCGTAAAGTCGAATGGCCGTAAGTTGCATAGGTCGTAAGTCGATCAATACCTGTACCTTTCTTCATCATTCCTTTAGTTAATTCAGGTCAGCTCTCTAGAGCCACTCTCCCTCATGGCATCCATCATGCCCCAAGCCTAGATGAGTCCATTTGTTACATGTTTCACTTTGTAATGTTATCTTCTTTAGTGGCATTATTTGACTAATGGCTGCTACTAACTCTAATTAGACTCTAAGCTCCAAGAGAGTGAGGGACTACATCTTTGCACACCATTGCATCTTCTGCACCTAGCATTGTGCCTGGCACAGAGTAGGTGGTCAACAAGCACCCGGCAGGCCATAGCCTGCTGCCTGGGGCATTGAAGCCTATGACAGTTCCTTCCCTTTACTAGCAGTGTAAACTTAGATGAATTATAAGATCTCTTTGAGCCTCAGTGTCCTTCTGTGTAAAATGGGGGTAATAATATAACTAGTGTCATTGGTTTATGGTGACTTAAATGAGATAATATGCCTGGCACATGACCTGATCTAGTCACTGCTAGGTTAACATTAGTCTCCTTCTCCCTTCCTCTTACTGAGGTGTACTCCGTAGGTGTCTGACACCCAAGTATCACTTGTCCAGATTCTCTGAAGTGCACAAGACTCCATCTTTCTGTTGAGAACTGCACAGTTTACATCAAGAAATCCAGAATTAGAGGTGTGACTACCAGGCCTTTCATATATCTGCTGCCTTCCCAGGAGCTGTCACTGGGCCTCTAGTTCCCTCCCCTAGCTTGAATCAACAGGCCCCACCCATTATTTTTGCTTCTGAGCTAGTTCCTTATTGTTTCATAATACATTCCACTCCTCATGCAACTTTTATTATTAGCCTGTCCTTTGGAAACCTGTCCAAGGCTTTATTAAGGTTTCTAGGTTGGCCGGGTGCGGTGGCTCACACCTGTAATCCCAGCACTTTGGGAGGCCGAGGCGGGCGTATCACGAGGTCAGGAGTTGGAGATCAACCTGGCCAACATGGTGAAACCCCGTCTCATAAAAAATAAATAAATAAATAAAAAATAAAAAGGTTTCTAGGTCAATAATATTAGGCTTTTCTTTATCTTGTTTTCCATTTTTTTAACTGCTTAAAAATGTAAAAACCTCACAGAAATTTGTCAAATTTTCTCTTTAAAGATATCATCTTGACAGTCTTCTCTGAAATTAACTTTATTTAAGTATTTAGCTTGCCTGTTTCATAAATGAACCATAATTTCCTAGGTTCCCTTTATAAATTTCTAAATGATAATAAATATTATCATGTAATAAATATGATATTTAGAGCCCACTGTGCTAAGAACCTTACATATACTATTTAATTAATTTATTATTATTATTAGTAGTAGTATTTGAGACAAAGTCTCACTCTGGAGTGCAGTGGCACAATCTAGGCTCTCTACAACCTCAGCCTCCCAGGTCCAAGGGATTTTTGGGCTTCAGCCTCCTGAGTGGCTGGGATTACAGGCATATGCCAACATGCCCGCCTAATTTTTTTGTATTTTTAGTAGAGACAGGGTTTTGCCACGTTGACCAGGCTGGTCTTGAACTCCTAACCTCAGGTGATCCACCCACCTTGGCCTCCCAGAGTGTTGGGATTACAGGTGTGAGCCATCACACCCGGCCCACTGTTTAATTTAATCCTTATAGCAGTCTTGCACAGTAGACATTATTGTTCCCATTTTGTACATGGAATAAGTAAAATTTCATAAATAATTTGTTCTAAGTTGCACAATTAGGAATCAAGATTTGCATCAGGTATGTATCAGCCAAGTGCCCATTGTCTTTTTACTCTAACATTTTTCCTCCCTTCTTATGCTTACTGGTTCATAATGGTGGTGGGGAGGGCATATATGTCACTTTTTTTTTTTTTTTTTTTTTTTTTTTTTTT